TATACCACCTATACTATATACATATATGTATATATGTTCATATATATGGTAATAGATATACGTATCAGACGGACTTATAACATGAATTGTGTGATAAAAGTGTGCTTAAATGAACCGGCAAACATATAGGATAACCTTATACGGTATATGAGTATCTGTAAGTTAAGAGTATATCGAGCTGAAACGTAAATATCACTATTACAGTGCAGCCATATCTATCTTGAATATACTCTGAGTCTAACCTCTAACTTTACAAATCGGCTCCTATCCTCGCCACTAGCATGACCGTATACGACGACTAAATCATATCTATATTAATATACTCTCGTATATATGAACTAACTATATCTATGACTAAGAGTGGACTACACTCTAAGCATCAATAGTAACCTCAGTATCTGATTCTATCTCTATTATTAACCTAGACTCGGTATAGTTTTATAGTTACTGATCCACAAGACATTACTTATATATATATGTAATATAATGATTACCTTCTTTATCACAACAGCAACTATATATATAGTAGCATAAGGTTATCTAATACCAACATTGACCTATCGTAGCCTGATATATGTCTTTATAAACGTTCTTTGTTAACCTACTTCTAATATTGGTGCATATATATATATATATATATATGTATTAGATATAATATATATAGTATATACTATATACTATATATAGATTATATATATATATGTTATATACGTCTCGATGATGTATATAAATTCTTTATACCTGACTACGCGTTACTGTGAGTGTGAGTTATATAATCATATATACTTAATATCTGCAATCAATCTATATAGTATATATGCTATATGATCATATTTATAGATATATATATAATATGTATACTTAATGTCATATGTACTATGTGAGATGGTGGTGAGAGGTACACTATGTGTGTGATATCTCTAACTGTAGATATATAGCACACTATCCTCATTACTATATATACGTCAATACTATCTACTGTACTTACAGCATAGATACTTATCTCCTCTTATATATGTATAAATATATATAGTGGACTGAAATACTTATAGTATAGTATTATATATGCATAACTACTAAACAGGTATATATATATATGTATTACGTACTATATTAGTTAATAATATATACTGTACAATATATGTATATTATACTGTATTATATATGAGATATATATATGGTAGTGAAATGGTATACTATATAATAGTATACGTATAGTACATATACTATATTATAGTCATGTATCACTAATATATATATATGTAGAATACGACTATATATATATATATATGATATATAGTATAGTATCACTGTAATGTATTATATATATGCTTACTACTATATGTAATTTAATAGTATATATATTAACTAATATATAGTAATAATAATATATATTATATATATATGTATTGGTATGTATGTATGCTTATATATATATATATAATCATTAGACTATAGTATTATACTTATATTATAGTACTCTCTCTCTTTGTACTCTGCTATGCTATGTATGCTATTGTTATCATGCTTATGAACTGCGTATTATGTTCTTAAATTATGGTATGTACTGTACTAATATAGCTTGCTCCAGTGAGATAATTATCTACCTGTGTGATAACGGTACTATACTGACTAGATTTTTAATTATACTATAATAGTATATTTAACGTGAATATGGTGAGTGTGTGTATTATATAGAGTTATTAATGTAGTATGTAAGACGCTATAGTGATTATATGCTCCAATGCTATATCGTCATACTCATGTTATATGTCATATTGATTGAGTGATACTGGATATACTGTAGTAGTGCTGAGTCATACTGCTCGATGTGTTATACTGTGTATCTGTATATATGTATGGTCAATTATATGTATGTATATATGTACTGTTTATACTTTTATGTATACTACTGTATTGTAAGCCTAATTTACGACTTGTGAGCTCAATGCATACGATATCCATCGATATACTTATCTCCGACTACGTGCTCCCTATAGCCCGCACGGGTTTCCTAATATTCATCATAAATATCTGGTTATTACTTTAGTCATGTTTGAATATGTTTGACTGTATACTAATGGCTCCCTATGGGCTGAACTTGTATTACGTTATCTACATGTTCAATACTACAGCTCTACCTTATATTATGCTGTCTTAGATACTAGTAGTACACATACATGTAACTTATATAGGTGAATTATCACTTAATTTATTCACATTCACTTATCTTAACACGTAATACAGATTAATCACACCGTGTATATCATCAGCTTTATATCATCAATTACACCACACTCACCGATACTCTTACTATACATAATCACCCACATATATATATTCAAGTATTCACTCTATACAATAGATTACTATACTATGACAAGACATCCTCTACCATTACGCATGAAACTCATCCATACAAGTATGCATAATCAATTCACATAACTCATAAAATATCCAGTACAATCTAATTTAGTACCTATTTATTATATACGCCTCC